ATATCCAGCCAAGATGAGCCTCATGAACGAGGCTATACGTCATAGAACTGGTGCCGGCTGGACAATTGAAAAAGGGTTTCTACTCCATCCTCTTCATCGTTCCAAAGGTCTCGGGAGGGTGGAGAGCTATACTCAATCTGAAGGGATGAAATTCCCATCTGCTCTACAAAAAATCCAATCTATTCTGGCCAGCATCAGAAGGGACAACTTCCTGATGTCCATCAACCTCAGGAAGGCATACTTGTATGTCCCCATCCTTCCTGACCATCAGAGGTTCCTCAGGTTCTGCTACCCAAACTAACAGTTCAGGGCTCTACTGTTCGGCCTTTCATCCGCACCAAGGGTATTCACAAAGATTTTGACAGCACTGGCCGCCCACCTGAGATTAGTCCCGATACGGATCCAATGTTACCTGGACGACATCCTCATCCAGTCCACTTCCATTCAGGTGGTTCAGTCAGACCTGACTTTATCCATCAGGGCCCTCCAGGACCACGGGTTCTCAGTGAACTTCCTGAAGTGCCAGATAGCTCCCTCCATTCGCCTCCTCCACCTGGGCGCGATCATAGATACAAGGCAGTACATGGTCTATCTGTCTCAGGAGCGCCAGGACAGTATCCGAACCCTGGTCCCTCAGGTACAAAGGGAGCGTGTTGTTTCTCCAGCACTGGAGATGGATAATCCATTAATGGGTTAACTTAATCCTCCTGTCCAATCAGATCAAGTCAGCCAAACTTGCCACGCCTGTCCTGGGCCTGTTTGCCCCAGTTTTCGACTTGATCTTGCCCTGAACAGACGTGCAGGTTTGGCTCACAGGCAGGTAGATACCCATTAGTGGATTATCCTTAGATTGTTGGTTTACTAACTTTTCCTTCCCTTTGAGTCCCCTGAGCAGCGTTGAGACTAACGCTCCTCTAGAGGACTTAAATTGCTGATTCCCACTGGGACTCAGTTTTTGTTGTTCCAACATGATTCTGTTTGGGCTCCCCCCTCCCCCTCATTAGGAAAGGGAGACTTTTTTCCCTTCCTTCCCCTCTAACCTCCTCTTACCTTCCTGGCGTCGGGGCTTGCGGCGGTAGCGCTGACCGCCCGAAAGAGCCCAGATCGGCTTGCGGAGGTCATTGGATTGACTGGTGCGTTTTCGGATGCTGCGGTGAGGACTTGTCTCTCCTCTGGCGTCGGAGCATGCAGCTGCAGCTCCGACAGCCTTAGAGAGCTGGATCGGCGCGTGGAGGCTGTAGGGGCCTCGGACTGCCTCGAGATGTCTCTCTGACAGTAATGTTGGTCAGTCTCTCCCAATTGTTAGGGAAGATGATCTCATCCATAGCGATCGTCCCGTGGTCCAGGCTCCACTCCAGGGAACTGCAGTGGTTCATGCTCCCTTTCCAGAGGCAGAACCTCACTGCCTCCCAACGAAGGGTGAGACTCTCACCTCAGGTATTGCACTCCCTCAGTGGTGGCTATCACCTGCCATGCTCAGAGGGTCATGTTTCAAGGGGCCAGATCGGATAGTACTAACGACCGATGCCAGCCTGTTCGGCTGGGGAACACACCTTCGCTCGCAGCGGGCACAGGGCCATTGGTCCCGCTCAGACCTTCGGCACAACATAAATTGGCTGGAGCTATGAGCCCTACATCTAGCCCTCTGCCACTTTCACAGCCTGGTGACAAGGCGTCACATACTGGTCCTCACGGACAATGTGCCTGCCAAGGCCCATGTAAACCGACAAGGGGGTGCCCGATCTTGGACTTTATTGACTGAGTCGCTCTTACTGGGATCCTGGGCAGAACACAATCTGACCTCCATCAAGGCCGATCATATTTCAGGGGAAGCGAACACTCAGGCTGACCTTCTGAGCAGGGCAATGGTAGATCACTCAGAATGGCGCCTCCACCCGAGGGTCTGCCTACCGCTTTTGGACCTCTTTGCGTCCCCGACCAATGCCCAGCTGCCTTGATTCTTCTCCCGGTTCCCATTTCCAGGGGCGGAACAGATGGATGCTCTTCGGAGCCCATGGCCGCAGGGTCTGCTTTATGCCTTCCCCCTTCTCCCTCTTCTCCCGGCAGTAATATGCAAGCTTCTTCGGGAGCGAGCGGAAATACTCCTAGTGGCCCCTTATTGGCCAAGGAGGCCTTGGTTCGCCAATCTGATGAGCCTCTCCCTTGCAGATCCATGGCGGATTTCTCCGGACCGGGTCTCGCTCAGCCAGGGGACCATTCTCCATCCGGACCCCCAATGGCTCCAGTTAGCCGTCTGGCACTTGAGCGCTCAATCTTGTCACGGGAGCTTTGCTCACCAGGGGCCATTACGGTAATCCAGGCTTCCCGTTGCCCTTCCACAAACCGTATCTATGAGGCCACGTGGAAGAACTTTCACTCCTGGTGCTCTGGTCAACACTTTTCACTCTCGAAACTCACGATTCCCATATCCTGGACTACCTGTTAGAAGGCCTGGAGAGGGGCTTGGCCCCAAACACATTGCGCAAACAGATAGTTGCTCTTTCCACAGTCCTAACCTGTGACTCCGTGGGGTCATTGGGACATCACTCCTTACTCCGCTCATTCCTTAAGGGGGCCGCTAACACCAGACCCCCTACAGTGCACAGGTACTCTTCATGGGAGCTACCACGGATTCTTCGGGCTCTGACCAAGTCGCCCTTTGAGCCCCTAGAGACGTGCAATGTTCGCTATCTGTCCCACAAAGTGGCATTCCTGGTGGCAATCACGTCGGCACGACGTATTTCCGAATTGGCAGCGCTCTCAACCCGGGATGACCTATGCATTTTCCACCAGGATCGAGTGGTCCTTCGCCTCGACCCTACTTTCCTTCCAAAGGTCAATTCACTATTCCATAGAACCCAGGAGATAGTGCTGCCGGATTTTTGCCCTAACCCATCGCATGTTCTGGAACGGCAATGGCATCTACTGGACATCTGCCGAGGGGTCCGGTACTATATTTCATGGACAGCGGCGTTCTGCCAATCAGAAGCCCTCTTTGTATCCTTCCATCCTTCCTCCAGGGGTTGGAAGGTTTCCTCTTCCACAATTGGCAGCTGGATTAGGGCGTGCATTGCCGGTTCCACGATGGGTTACAGCCCACTCTACATGGAATGCAGCTACTTCTGCGGCCTGGGCCACTCAGGTGTCCATTGAGGACGTCTGCAGAGCGGCCACATAGTCTTCACCATCTCCTTTCATACGGCACTACAAAATCGATAGGTTTGCCTCGGCTGAGGCTTCCTTCGGTAGGAGGGTTCTTCAACAGATTGTAAATTAAAGTGCCACACCGGACCGGTCTACTTCCCACCCTCAGGGACAGTAGGCTTTGGTATGTCCCATTGGTAGATTCTCCATCTCCAGTGCTGGAGAAGGGGCGTTGTCTTACCTGAAAGCCTTTTCTCAGCATAGAGATGGAGAATCCACTCCCACCCTTGTAGGTCATCTAGGCCTAGGGTTAGTCTTAATGAGCCACAACGTCTTGCTGTCAGTCAATGCCTACGCTCGCGTCAAGACTGGGATCTCTATGGTCCAGGACGGGTGTGGCAACTTTGGCTGACTTGATCTGATTGGGCAGGAATATAGTCTAAACTAATTGGTGGATTCTCCATCTCTGTGCTGAGAAAAGGCGTTCAGGTAAGACAACGCCCCTTTCCTTACTTTACCCTGTGCTCTGAAAATTCACCCACCACCTGTCCCTAAAATGAATTCTTTCTCATATATTCTGACTTAGATTGTTTGACATTGTTTGGTGGCTGCTGATGTGGTTTTTATTTTCTGAAAAAGGCATTGAAATGGAATCTTTTGTCATTGTTCTTCTGGATAGTTTGTTTTGCCAGGTACTCCATTGGTTTAGTTTTTCAAGTTCAGAGATTCTTTTACTGTTATATTTGTATTTATGATGTTATTTGAATCAAGCAGTCTTAGGAAGTATTGAGCCATTCCTGTAAACTAGATGGTTTCCCCCCCCCCCCGCCATTTACATTTTAAAAAGTGTTCTGAATTATTGAGAGGATTGCAAATAAAACGAATAAGCAAGCAAAAGCACTTTAAAATTTGAAGTTTGTTGTCAGGTGAGAATAATCAGGACCACATCTTAAGTTCCAGTCAAGATGATTTATTACTCATGGCTATATATGAGAACCTAGTTAACAGTCAGTATGAAATTGGCGCTAGATAGACTTAATAGAATTCGGGGGGGGGGGGTGGACTTGTATTGCTTGTGGAAATGTAAAGACTCCAGACTGATTCCTCTCTTGACTTCGCACCCAGGCTTTGCTGGTCATGTTAGACAATTATTCAGCTATCCCGTTCCATTGCTAAAATTAATATTTGATGCATTCTTTTGTTTTACTAAAGAGTGCTACATGTCTAGATGCTGGTTGTATGCTAAATGCACAAGTCTTCCTTTTCTAGGTTTGCCTGGACAAACTCAAGAGCAGTTCTCTTCTCTGCAGTTATGAGTCATGACTTGTTCTAAAATGCTAATACAGACATCAGATATTCCTGTGTGTTGGCTTGCAGAATACTGCTTCTGTATTTAAAACTTGCCATAAATAGTTTAATTTTAAGTGATACCTTTACTTTAGAGTGGAACTTGAGCTACTTTCTTCAGATATTTTTTACATGCTTCTGTTTTGAAAAAAAAAAAATCTCAGAGCAAGCATAACAAATACAGTAAACAAGTTACATAAATTTGTGAATTGCAAATTATCCCAACCAATAAACTTGCTATAAGATTAGGGTGCTATCCCAACCCCTTGTCTTTCTGGTGCTAAAGAGTAGAAATAATTCCGTCTTATATATGTGGTGTGTGTTTGTTTGCACATACACAAAATTTTAATTGTACTATCCTGTCAAGTAATTTGTTTGAACCTTTTGTATTAATGGAGTTTTGGAAGAGCTACACAAAATGAAATGGAAACAGAATTTAAAGAAAAATGTCTATAATTTAAGCCTGTATTTTTCTCTGAAATGTTTATGTGGCTATTTTTGTTTTTCAGAATATAGCACTGCTTGTTGGACACCCTTTTGTTGGATTTTATCTATGTCCAGCTAACTGCTGCTTTCAACTATGGAATCGGTAAATATTATACTATTTTCTTATGTATTTTTACCTTTTTTTCAGTGGGATACTTTATAAAAATATGTTTTTAAAAAATAGAAAGTGAGTAATGTTTTTTCATAGCACTTAAATGGAAGTCTTTTTAATGGTAAGTAGCTCAATTTGTGCTGGTTGTAGCACAGGGTAATATCTTCAGCTTTCTCCGAAATTATAATTTTATAGAGAATTAAATACAGCAAGCTGTTTTTAATTTTTTGAATCCTTCTGCTAATTACAGTTTGATGTAAGATTGGCTGATCTCTTTTTAAGTCCTCTTGCCAGGAGAGAGTTATATGTGAAAAGGTTATATCTGCTAGCGCTTGCTGCTTGCTGCAAGTGACCAACCAAGTGCTGGTGGCAAGGTAGTTTTTTTTATGAGGGGTTGTGCATCCTTGGCTGCTGGCTCAGTTGTGTTTTGCAGAGGCTTGTGCCAAAGACTAGCTTTATTCATACATTTGAACAGAAACATTCATGGCAATGTGTGAAAGAAACTCCAAAGTTCTTTACTTTTTTCAGAACTCTTTGCCAATTACTATTAAAGTGATCACTAACTTGCAAAGAAATAACTGAAATTGCTCTTCAGAACATTGAACATGATTTTTAAAAGAGTTTCATTACTGTGTAACAGCCAACAAGCCAATATTGTGTTCTAGGTATGGCTTGTGCGGTAGATTTGTGCCTGTCTCTCCTCTCTTCCATCCATTGGAATCTTTGTAAAGGTTATACATTAACCAACTTTTCAATTCTGATTGAGACTCAGCAAGGAGAGGCAAGCTAAATGACTTGTTAGTTAAAAGGAATGTTCTTTCCTACTAGCACTTCTGCTAGGAGAGGTTCATGTCCTTCAGCTCAGCTAAAGACCAAAGTTCTCCTGTTGCTCAAAGCCTGCGAATCAGGGTGTGCCAAGAGCAGTGCTCCTAAAGTGTAATGTGGCAGAACACTCCAAATGTTTTAGTATAGCTGTCGCCAGGATGGTTGTTGTCATTTTGCTTGTTACATATAGCTAGAAAACATTAATATCCCAGCAAGTTTGCAAGAATTGCTTTCCTTCTGAATTTGGAAAGTTCTGTTTCAAGTATGTTCTTAGCTGGAGTAACTATCACTAAAAAGCAATGATTAGAAAATGTGATTTGTTATTGAAATTGATATGCTAGAGTAAAAGATCGAATTCAGTTAACTGGAGTAATTTCTTGAATATTTTGATTAAGGTTCAACTCTCTAAAAACTGAACAGAATTGGACCAAGTGTTGGGAATGAAGTGGGAGATTACAGCAGAAGAAAATGAGTTAAAAAGACATGGATCAGTTTGGAATCTTTGGAGGAAAAGATGCCTGGAAACAGGAAATTCTGATAGCATGCCTACAAGAGAGGCAATTTGGCAATGGCTTAGAATGTTGCTGAATCCTCCTTGATAAGACCCCTTCCCTCTTTCTTCTTGGTTACGAGACTCAGGAAGTGGTCTTATAATCTGCCATGCTGATCCAGTGCAGGTTGGCAGATGTGATCACTGTTATTCTCCAGCACCGGAGATGGAGAATCCATCAATGGGTTAGTTCTGCCTTCCTGCCCATTAGACCAAGTCAGCCAAACTTGCCACGCTCCGTCCTTGGGTAGCCACTCCCAGTCTTGACTTGGTCCAGCCCAGACGGACGTGACAAATTTGGCTCCTGGTCTAAGGCAGGTATTAGAGAATAATAAATTGGTGGATTCTGTTCTCTCCTCACTCAGTCTTTTCAGCAACGCTGGGATCAGCACTAGATGAAATAGTCTGTAGGAGGTCAGGGGGTGGGTTCTCCCTTTCCCAGATCTGAGGCTTCTACTGAGGCTCTAGCCCTTCCAAAAGGGGAAAGCCCTCAACAGCTGTTCAGCGCTAGGATCAGCGCGGCAGCCAGCACATCGGGTCGGGGGGGGGGAAATTCCCTCCGTCTCGTGATTGTACGTAGAAACCGACAGGGTCTCGTTCCGTCGGATCAGCGGCCGCCATTCTTTCGTTTTCCTTCGATTCCTTCTTACATCTTCCCTTTGCTGCCGTGAGCAGATGCTGCGACCCTCTTCCACTCAGGTGAGGGGCTTAGTCCACGCGCAGAGGCTTGCCGCTCTTGAGAACTTCGCCTTGAAGCGACCGCTGGGCTAATCTGAATGATTGCTTCGCCGCCACACTTGTTTGTTCCAGTCGCCATTTTGGATGCCAGAACACGCCGTAGCACCAGGAGGCACCTTCTTCTTCCGTTTTCAATTTTTCTGCCGCTAGAGCGGAAGTCCTGCAAGTGACCACCCCTTCTTTACGGAGAATTGTTCCAGCCGCCATTTTGACTGCCGGAACAAACGTGGCAGCCGATCCAGTTAATTAGCCGGCTAGTTTCTGATGGAGCTCTGATCATCCCCTGGGAGGAAAATGCAAGGATCGGTCCCTCTGTCTTCCCCTGAAGGAGGGGAGAGCTGCACAGCAGCTGATCTGATTGCCAGCGTTTCATCTCAGCCACACAACCCTCCCCACCCCCCCTCCCCATGCATTTTGGCCCACGAATAACACAATTCAAGAAATAAATAAATAATCCATTAAAAATTATTCACTATCCTTAGAAGCGTCTGCTCAACGATTCTGGTGCAACTCATTACCCTGACCACATTGTAGCATTATCAGGTGTATCTACGAGCGAGCAGGTTTGCCGTGACCGTAGACAAGACCGGATCCTGCAGGGGGGGCAACAAGCAGCCCTTTTTCTTTTACCGGTCGGGTGGTCAGGAGAGCAGGACGACTTAATTCCCTGCTTTACCTGCTCAGCCTATCTCGCCAACTGATCTACTGCCAGAGCTCTCTCTCGGTATCGCTGAGATAGGTCACATCAGGATGGAGGAGTCCACGGTGTCTCAACTCAAGAACACCGCCTCCCCTCCCACCAGCCACAAAAGGCAAAAATCCTCCAAGCAGGAGACGGCAGGCAGGATCAAAGCCAAAGCTAAGACCATTTCTGGAAGGAAGCTTTCCAAGTTGGCAAAGAAACAGACTAGCAGAAGGCACCAAGCTTTGGAGAAGGAATTCTCCAAAGCGCAAAAGCAGGCCAGGGCAAAGGCGGAGCAAACAAGATGCACCCTTTCAATCTCCCCTTGGGACCCTCTAAGCATGGGGTATGGTTCCCGGAGGGGAATCCCAAGGTTCCTGAGATGGATCAAGCTCAAGCAATCCATCAACCATCGTTGTCACCGCGGGTCGCACACTCAATCCCAGTGGCCATCTTTACTCCCACAGCGACAGGGTTCGGGGGGTTGAGCCCGAGAGATCCCCTTCAGAGGATCACCTCCAAACCCTGATTGCTCAAGCGGTTGACAGGGCAATGGCTGCCAAGGTCCTACCATGGGCTGAGACCTGAATCAATGACTTCCATACCTCCACCCTTCTTTTAGCCAGGGACACCTGTGTTCCAGGACTCTTCCTCTCCGTCCTGGTCCTTTCACAGCAGGGCCTCCTCTTCTACGGAGGATAACCAACATGACATGTCATGGTGGGAGGAGGAAGACCCTCCTCCAGACCCTCCCCCATTTGGAGGGCTATTCAACCCGGCCTTCTTCCTGCCTCTGCTCCATAGAGCCAGTTCCACGGCCAATATAGGCCTGGTTCAGATCCCACAGCAAGACCCACCCCCTGGCTCAGAGTCAAACTCGATGTTCTTCAAGCCTGTTGTGACTCAGCACCATGTCCCTTATCCGGCATTCTTTCGGAATGCCATCAGGAAACAATGGGCATCACCGGGCATCTCCCCCCCCAGGGGGAATGGACATGAAATTGTTCAGCACAGCGCCAGACCAGGCAGAGGATCTCGAGGTGCCAACGGTGGATGAACCCTTTGGTTTCCTTTTCTCCTCGTCTACAGTGTCGGGGGATATGGCAGAGGTGTTTAAGTCCGATTGTTCTATCCCAGCCTATTGCCATCCTTGTTAAAGGCACAAGGACCAAACCCCTGCTGATGCAATAGGCTGGAGACTTTGCAACAAAACTAAACTCTTTTAATATGGTTGACAAACCTGTCAAATAGTCCAAAACACAAACAGCAAAACTCAAGTCCAAAGGAAACACAATGCAAACAGATGAGAAATCACAAGCAAGACGAACAGAGAAGTCACAAGCAAGATGAACAGACCAGGATTCCAAGAAGCACTTTGCAAACGGTTGCCTTCAGCAACCAGCACCGCCCACACCTCCTCTCTTTATACAGCAGTCCCAAGGCGTTGCCTCTCAGTGCCTTTTCCTTTTTCCCTGGAGTAGTCGCATTGACTGCTGCTGATTTACTCTTGCTAATTGACAATGGGAGCATGCATCAATTAGCAAGTCCATCAGATGTGATTCTTTTGAGTCTGACTCATTCTCCTCACACAGCTGATCTTCATCAGAAACACAACTGGAGGGCCCAGGCTCTGCATCAAACTGTGAGTCCAGTAATTCATCAGAGCCTCCCTCTGCCCCTGATGGCCCTTCAAATGCCTCCTCCACCTCCTTCTCAGATTCCTCAGACTCAGCTGTTGTGAGCACAGGCTGGCACGGAATCACAACACCGATGACATTCCCCAGGACTCATCAGGCGGTGGCGTGGGCGGTAAGAGCTGCCACCTGTGCATCTTTCTTTGCCAGAACCTCCTTACTCTGGCTTTGCCAACTACAAGCCGGACTTCCCCAGGAGGAGGTACGTACCCAACAAGACCTGAGCAAGTTTGTTGCAGCATTGGAGTACATCTCGGATGCCACGCTACATGCGGCCAGGTTCTTATCTAGAGCCATAGCATGCAACGTCTCAGCACGCAGGATGCTATGGCTCAGACACTGGCAAACCGACCCAAAGGCCAAATGGCGTCTAGCTACGGCCCCTTATCGGGGGTCAGCTTTTTGGGGAGGCCCTGACTCCTTACTTGACTGAAAATAAGGACAAGCGGAAGGTGTTTGTCCACTCCAGCAGGCCGACAGGCGCCCAAATCCGTACGCCCGC